GGGGAAGGTAAAAAAATTTAAAAATTGAAAGTAAAAAGATGAAACGTGGGAAGGGATCATTGGCGTCGTTTCTATGGTTCTGAGCTGTACCACTCGTGCATTAACGTGGGTTAAGGAATATGTTAACGGGGGTGTGAATTGACATAACATATTCTTTGGAGGGTTCAAGGAAAATTAAACACTATTACTCGTACTTTCTTTTGCTAAGGAAAATTATTGACATAAGAAATCTTGGGATTATATATTATACTTAGAATAATGATAAGAATCATTTTAATCCAAAAATGAATAATAATTCATAATTTAATTAATTTATGCTTAAATGTATCAGTTTATATACTTTTAGCGGAGAGTGTAGCAAGTGGAACATGTGTGAGAGAAATCGTTCCTTTACGTTAGTTATAATTTTTGCTTTCGTTAGTTCTTTTGAATTAGCAATACTTCTTCTACTATACTACTATACATTCCCCACTCCCACATGCAACATATTTTCTTACCTTATCTTACACACGTTCACTTACAACACATTTGTTTTGTTATACTATTGAATTTAATTACATAAATAACAATTGCAATACTAATCCTCTCTTATCACATTAGCACATGCTCTACATATTACATTCTATAAACATCATCTTATCGAAAATTATCTTACCAAAACTTGAATTTGTTTGAATTGAAAATGAACTGACCCAATAAGTAAGTTTGTCTAATGTTATTGATATTTCGTAATAAGTTGATTACTTATGATTCATACATAATATGATCCAAGATGACCAAACTCAAGTTCAATCTCGTACTGCACTTCTGCTCAAGTTATTACAATGTGTTTTGACTAATTTCAATCAAAATAAGTATGGATAAGTTCATACACTGTTTAATTCACGTAATTTGAAGATAATAACTGTATATAAATGATACAAGCCATTCATATAGTTCATAGTCCTTCTAGTTATATATGATAATATAGAATTCATTACAATAGTAGTTCATACCCCGTATAAATTTCATGAAAATCTAATGGAAAATTAAGAAATCGTAAGATAATTTTATAAAAGGACAATGAAATTTTGTGAAATAGAGAAAAAAAAATGAAGAAAAAGGCAAGAAATTCTCATTTCCCTAGAAAAGAAAATGTTAATTAAAAGATGGAGCAGAGGAATCCGGCTGTAAACTTGGACACTAATGAGATAGGAGTATAGGAGTGTGACAAAGCCTGCAAAAAGATCGATTCTTAAGGAGTTGAATTTAAGCTAATAATGTGCTCTTAATTACACTCATTGATTGTCCCAATTATAGTTGTTGGCTTTCATAATTACTTGGATAAATTTTCTTGCACTTATCTATCACCTCTTCATTCTTAAATAGTTAGTTGTTGCAGTCTATAGAATTTTGTTCTAGTAAATAAAAAAAGATGGAGGAAGATGATAAAATGGTGTAATTATAAATATAAGTTGAAATTAATTAGTTTATATATAACTAGATTATCCCCGTGCGATGCACGGTTTTAGTAATAAAAATTATAGTATAGAACTCGTATATACATTGAATCTTTTCAATTTTGTCATAAATTCATTGGAAGGAGATTTCTTAAAAGAAATACAGTTTGAATATTTCAGGAAATTTTTGGATGTTTGAATATTAGTGTTAAGGAATTGAGGAGAGAGAATGATAGATCTTTAAATCAAAAGAAAGGAATACAGTTGCTAGTTAATTTACTATACTTCAGTTTTCTAGATTAAAGTTGTTGAAAGAACTTAATTAGCTTGTTTGCGAAGTATCACACAAAAGGAAAAAAAAAAACTATCACCAAAAAATTACATCATCAATGGTTTAGACGGGAAAAAATTTCATAAGAAAGTGACACGTATACAGTTTTGAGGAGAGATGAAGTCAGCAATGTTTTGTCTTAGTAATAGTTAATATAAAAGTTGGAACAATAAATTAATTACAACTTTGGAAACGAGTCTTTGTTATTCATAGCCATGGACTTTATATCGTTCCCTATTCATCTTTATATTAAACTAGCTTGTTCTAGTGTCATGCACAACTTTTACAAAAATTACGATTTATAATGTTAATTCAATAATAATTTTTATAAAAAAATAGACTTTAAATAAAATAAAATAACTTGTAATTTAATTTATACCCATACATACGTTCCTAAGACGTTAAGGTTATCAATTTATTAGATTATAAAAAATAATTTTTTTTATAGAACTACGAGTTTCCATATATATATAAAAAAAAAAGAAGAAGAATTTTTAAGTAAATACTCGTATGAAAATATACTCGTAAGAAATTTTAAGTAACTCATATATCCTTCAACCCTATTTTGTTTATACACTTTGACTGGCACAACAACATTTTATGCAAATTGACTTGATTATATTTTACTATGTGATAATTAGTAATTATAGTTACTAACTATTAGAGTTTTATATATTTTACATATATGAATTATTTTTAATATAATATATTATATTAATCTTAGATGATAATATCTTACTTTCTAATACAATACCTTATGTACATTTTTTTAATGAAAATTAACTTATAATATAATATATAAAAGATATGTAGAAATATTTAAGTTGAATGTATATAGATGTCGTAAAAAAAAAAATGTATATAGATCAAAGATGATTGTCAAAATAAAAAAAAAAAAAAAAAGGAAATTTTGCAAACAACTACCATTCCAATGACCACTTTTGAGAAAAACTACTGTTTAATTTTATTTGTTTATTTATTTATTTATTTTATTTTATTTTTGAAAAAACTACCACAAAAACTTTGAATAGCACTACCACATGTCCACATTTAATTTCCCGGCAAGAATTTCCGGTTGGTGAGACATTCCTGATTTGCCTATAGTATATAATTATAGATATTTATACTCCGTATATCATATAATAATTTAGAGAGGGTTCAAGAGAGATGTTTTAAAGGGTTAAAGTTAGGGCATTTTCGTTTTATCCTTTGTTGAGGGAAAAAAATAAGTTTCTATATGAATGCCTAGATTTTCGAATCTACCTTAGGGTATTCGAAAATCCTAGGCTCGTTTCCGGCCTGAGAAATCTATGGCGTTTCTCACGTCAGACCAATGTATAAAAAAAAAACCTCAAGGCGCGCTGAAGCGATAAGGGTTATGCAGCGCCTAAGGCACGCCTCAGTGCGCCTCTTTGAAATGAGCGCACTATATAAACAGTTAAAAATAAATTGGCAGAAATTTGACTCATGTGCGCCTAATTAAAAATACCTCAACCCAGCCAAAATAAGTGCTTACCCCCTATTGCCTTACGCCTAGGCGCGCCTTAAGCGTGCTTTTTTCAACATTGAGTCAGACCGAAAAAAAATAAAAAATTATATGCTTGCCGACGATTCCCCTGCCTTCACGATTTCCCGACATGCTTAAATTACTCTACTCCTTGTACACTGTTCCTTGCCTCTTAGTAGTTGGTTGTGGTTATTACACTAGGTAGTACACTTAGGGCATGTTCTGTTCATCTTATTTTTACTTATTTCAGGTGTCATAAGTTCAGATAAGTTCAGTTCAGGAAAAATAAGTTCTCATAAGGGTTACCCAAGTACATATTACAACTAAAATAAGTTTTAATAAGGTATACTAAGTTCAAAACATATAGATTCAGATAAGTGAAAATCAGGTGAATTAGACACACCCTTAGTTTAGTGGTGGTGGTTATTTGGGTGGATAGACAGGGAGAGAGTTAATGAGTTAGAAAGTTAGAGTTGGTAGTAAGAGAAGTAAAAATGGGATTGAAATGTGTTTGAGGGCCTGTTTATGTGAGGGGTAAATAAGACCATTCATGTTAAAATGCGGGCATGGTGTAGTGTCCCCCCTTGATAAGTTCATATAAGGGTTATTAATAAAGTTCACATAAGTTTTGATAAGTTAAGGGATATTTTATTACTTGATAGTTGATACTCAATAAATAGATGGCTATATCACACAATTACTCTACCTCGCTTCTTCCCCCTGTCCGACATCTGTTTAAACTTAATAAATAGATGGCTATATCACACAATTTCATATTTTTTGTGCCTCAAAAGGTACCTAAGCACCCTAAGGAATTTTATTTTTCTAGTTTGGAAATTTTGAAAAAAACATAATGTTATTATTTTCCGTAATAAGACCCTTAATTTTTTTAAGACTTACCACAAAATACTTTTTCCTTTCAATTTCGATGATTTAAGATAGTATGCTTGATTTGGACCTACGTGGAAAAACAAATTGGCCGCTTTGACTTTTCGTACTTATTTGTTCTAAAAATGTGATTGTAAATATTAATCCATGAGGATTATCACATCTAAAAACAATAAGAAGGATGATCAATGAAAATTAAAGGTAATTTGATATAACATTCAACAGAAAAATGTATTACATTGCATTAATTTGTGACCAACTAGTACACCAGTGAGAGTCTCTCATGTGTCCTTTATCTATTGTTCTTTTTCTTTTTTTTTTCTTTTTTTTTTTTTGGCGTTTGATTTCAATAATTGGCTTGATTAATAGTGCTTTTGATGTTATTATGTCATGAGTGAAATTAAATGATAGAAATGCCAACAATGAATCAATATGACTTAATTCACTTAAATGTAGAACTAGCCATCCAAAATTTCAAATATAAAGTGAACATAACAATATATTAATTGCAATACTTTTTTAGTGAACATAATAATATATTAACTGCAATATTTTTTTTATTTTTTTTTTTGAGGGAAACTGCAATATCTAATGTGATGTAACAAGAATAGAATAAAACCTTATAAAATTCTATAGAATATTAATAAATTCATAAGAATTTTAATAACGGCGAGAGATAACAAAAATAACCGCTTCTCATGCAACGCGTGTAAAGGAAAACCTATAAAATTAACTACCATTACTATGAAATTAGCAACACCATATAAAAAGAGGAGAAAAAAAAGTAGAAGACTAGAGTAGCAAGTCAATCATTTTGGGTTTCAAAGAAAATAAAGATACATGGCAAACCGAAATTTTTGCAGAATTGATTGTTACAAGCAACTAACACACATTTTAATCATCACAAAAAACAAAGGTAAACAATAAGCAAAGGAACCTTATAAAAGGACACAATCGTAATTTAGCATCGAAAATGATGTAAGTAAACTTCTTAACCATTAAACACACACAACTGTAGACAGTTAAAATTTTAATTAAACTAATTTAAACTTAACCTAATTAAATTAATTAAATTTACTTAAATAAAAAAATAAAAAATAAATTAAAAAATTAAATTGTAATTTAATTTGGACCTCCCTTTTTAAAGAGCTTAAAAATCTAAACACTCTCAAACCTCACACACCCTCTCCCTCTCACCCTCCTCAGCTCTCAACTCCCCCAAATTTTCTCTCTCTTCTTTCTCTCTCTAAAAATACATTCACAACAACACCATCAAAGAAGAGTTTTAAGCAAGAACAAAATAAAGACTTTTATTTTGTTGAAAGATTATTATTAAAAATGGAGGCTCCGGATTTTTTCGTGGAGGATTTGCTAGACTTATCCAACGGTGGTGATGAAATGATGACCGACGCTTTCTTCGACACCGTCACTGGAAATTCCACTGATTCTTCCACTCTTACTCCGGCCTCCGATAGCTGCACTTCCTCCGTCTCTTGCGCCCCGTCTTTCCCTGACTCTTATTTTTCCGGGGCCGACTTATGTGTTCCGGTAAGCATTTAATACATTTCCTAATTTATTACTCGTAGTAATATGGCTTAACAATATCATTATTGTAAGCCTATCGGTGTAATTAATGTTTAAAATCTGAGTATTTTATTACATTGGTTTGTTTAACTGTGTAGTTAATGTACATAAATGGGTAAGATTTTTTTTTTAATCTTTGATTAAATTAGCTCCAAATATTGCGGAAAAGTTGAATGATTTTAATTTTTGGAAATGTGTGAAACAGTATGATGATATGGCGGAGCTGGAATGGCTATCGAATTTCGTGGAGGAATCCTTCTCCACCGACGACTTGCACAAACTCCAATTCATTCCCACCAACCCACAACAGCCCGGCCCGGCCCGACAAGGTGGCCCGAACCCACCGACAACAGTCCCGGGGAAGGCCAGGAGCAAGCGGTCTCGGGTGGCCCCGTGCGACTGGTCCACCCGGCTCCTAATGGTCTCCGCGCCCTCCCCGGCTACGTCTTCATCCAATAGTGGACCGAGCACGGGGGCGAAGAAGCAGCCGTCAATGACGAAGAGGAGGGATAGTGGTGGGCCCGATAACGGGCCCGGGGAGGTGCGGAGGTGCCTGCATTGCGCTGCGGAGAAAACTCCGCAGTGGAGGACCGGGCCTATGGGCCCGAAAACATTGTGCAATGCTTGTGGGGTTCGGTACAAGTCGGGCCGGCTCGTGCCCGAATATAGACCGGCTGCAAGCCCGACATTCGTGTCAGCCAAGCACTCGAACTCGCACCGGAAGGTGATAGAGCTTCGACGACAAAAGGAGGTTCAAAGACACCAACAACCACACCACCACCACCAACAACAGCAGTACATTGGTGGTGGTGGTCATCATATGATGATGAGTGGCGGCGGCAGTGGCGAAGATTACTTCATTCATCATCATCATTTGGGAGGGACTGATTACAGGCAGATGATATGATAATATACTTAATTTTTCAGAGTAATCACATAAGTAATGTGGTTTAAATTTAAATTAGTGCAGTAATTTTTGATTATTAGAATGGCTTCCTCTCAATTTTCCCTGATTTTTGACAATTTTAGAACAAAATTTACCTAGAGTTAATCAAGTTAAATTAGAAACATTTTTTCTTTACTAGTATATTATTGTCCCCTTTTTCTTCATATCTTTATTTAATGCGGGAAAATAAGGAGAAAAATAGAGCTAATTAGTTGCCAAACTAAAGGAAAGAGGAAAATTCTCATCGTCACTCTTGTAGTAGAGAAAGAGTACTCTATTAAATGTCGTTTAGTCTGTATTTTTCTACTTTTTTTAAGTTAACATTTTGTTATCCTTCTTGCCCAATTTGGCAATTTAAATGAAGAGTTTGAATAGTTGAAATTCACAAATCAAGGTGTATACCACTTTATATTGAATAATTATTATTATAGTTACATTAAAACTTCCACTTCTATTTATTATTATTGGTTTCCCATGAAAAGTCACAAATGTAGCTTGGATTCTAAGTCTGGAAATTGAGTAAGCAGGCACAAAAGAAAGGTTCCGTAGGGAGGGGGAGGGGAGAGTACTTCAAGCTTTAAATCACATGCCGTTGTCCCAATTTTGACTTATGAGTTACATAAACGTATGCAGACTTGGGTACATATATACGGAGTATGTTATATTAATGTAAACAAATTACAACAGTAGTTTCAAGATTTTAGAACGATGAAAATATGCTTTCTCTTACTAGTGAAAGTTGTCACACAATATTTCGATCTCTCAAGATCAAAGATATGAAATTATTATATTGTTGTAGAACAACTACGTACCATCATTCCATCTTGCTCCCTTTGTGTTTGTTGTTGTTCCTGTTTAGAATTATAGGACTATTAAAAATGAGCGAAAATCATCCAAAATTTTCTCAATGCTTAAGAAACAACATAGTCATATGAGTGTTATATGATTTATTTTATTACTTTATTAGTATTTAATTTTATAATTTATATTAATATGAATTTAAATATATCATCAATGGGTTTTCTATGCAACTAGCCAGGCCACACCGTGTGGTCGCTTGTAAAAAAATGGAGTAACCCCATAACACTGAGTTTTAACCCCTATTACACTAACAGAGTAATCCCTTATTATACTTATTGAGTAACCATAAATATCAAAGTAATCCATAAAACACTGACATAAAAACCCCTACATTACTAACTAAGTAACCAATCCATATAATCATAACAGAGTTACCCTTATAACACCAACCGAGTAACCTGTGGTGGCTGGCCACACAATTAGTGTAAAAATGTAGCATCAAAGATTTATTGAAAATCGTAGTGAGTTTTCCGATCATCTAAATCAGAGTTCAATTATTCATTAATTGGTAAAAAAAAAAATTCTAACTAAATTAAAAATTTCTACAAGTTTTTTTTTTTTTTTTTTTTTTTGATGAGGTGTTTACCTTCACATTCTTTTTTAATAGCATTCACTTCACATTTTTTTTTTTGAATTGAATAGTGCTCATTTTATATGCATTATTATAAAATACAACACACAAAACATTGGTCATATATATATATATATATATATATATATATATATATATATATATATATATATATATATATATATATATATATATATATATATATATATATTGGGACTTCGAACACATCAGGCTAGCTAGCGACTAGGGATGTCGGTGGGGCTGGTCAAGTAGGAGAACCGCCCCATCTCCGCCCCAGTGGGGTGGGGATGGGTCCCGATTTGGTGGGTGGTGGAGCGGGGATGGGAATGAAAACCATACCCGCCATGGGTGATGGGGCGGGGGTGGATTTTAGGTTGTACCCGCCCCACCCCACCCGCCCCATTTTGTACCCACCCCATACCCACGTCTATATATTAAAAAAAAAATTGTATACTTTTATACTATTTTATATTAAAAAAAATGTATGTAAAATAAAGTAGTAAATAACTAAATATAATATGTTGTAATAAACCTAATATTAACAATGAATTTTTTATTTTTATATTTTTTTTATTGTAATCTATATTAGCATATTATATAATATTGTTGTATTTGGGAGGCGGGGATTAGGTGGGTCTTGGATGGGGATTATGTGGGTGTGGATATCCAAGTTAGGGGTGGGGCGGGGATGGTTTTGGAATTGTACCCGTTGGGGTAGGGATGAGGATGAATTTTGGACCCGCCATGGAGATGGGGATGGGAAATCCAACATCCGCCCCGCCCCGCCCCGTTGACATCCCTACTAGCGACTTAAAAGTGACTTATTTTTTGTTATCAAGCCTAAGTTGTCTTATTTTCTACCTTTTTTATTAGAGCTGTCAAAAGCTCACTCGATCCGAAAATTTTACCCGAATCCGATTATGATCTGACTTGTTTGAACCCGAGGAATTGGTGACCCGAACCCGATATGACCCGACATGAACCCAACCCGAGACCCGAGTTAACCTTAGGATTTGTGACCCGAACCCGGACATGACCCGACCTGAGATGACTTGATACCTGAACATAACCCGTCAATTATTGACCTGAACCGAACATGACCCGAACCCGAGATCGACCCACACCCATTTTAACCCGTTGAAACCCGAAATCAACCCAACCTGTTACTAATCTGACTCGATTTCAACCCGACTGAAACTTGATATATATAACCCGACCTGAATAGTAATGCAATTAACTCAAATTGACCCGAATCGAGCTAACTCAACCCAAACACTCAAATTGACAAATCTACCTTTAACATTTGCTTACACATTAATTCCTTTAATTTACTTTCCCACACACACATATCTTAACTCTTATATTCTTATCTAATATAACTAGTAATCTAGTTTAGCACATTAATGCTTAAAATGTTTCCCTCAATGAATTGAAGCTAGTTAATTAAGAAGGATTGTAATATGAATCATAAAGCTCATAGTAAAGAATTCTGAACAAGTATCTAAAAAAAAGAAAAAGAAAAAAAAAAAAACCTTAAGGCAGGCAGCACACTTAAACGTTTTTGAGGTCTTATCTTAAATTTATATGAACTCATTAATTTGAGTTTGAACTTATATGAAATTATTTATCCTAAAATAAGTGAAAAAAAAATAGTTTAAACTAATTAGCTTGAATATGAACTAATCCGAAATTATTTCTCTTACAATGAATAATGAAGAAATTAATAATGATTAAACGTGAACGTCAATACATGAACTGATAACAAACCGACCCGAAAAATGTACCCGAATCCGATATGACTCGACCTGAAATCAACCTAAGACTCGAATTAACCCAATATTTGAGACTTGAACCCGAACATGACCCGACCTGGAAATGACCCGCAAATTATTGACCTGAACCAAACCCGACTCGAACCCGAGAATGACCCTAATTCGTTTTAACCCGTTAAAACCCGAATTAAACCCAACCTATTATTCACCCGACCCGAATGTAACCCGACCTATTATTCACCTGACCTGAATGTAACTCGACCCAAACCCGATAAGATGTATGACCGACAAGACCTGAACTCGGGTATGACCCGACCCGAACCCGAGCTGACCTGACCCACATTTACCCGACCCAAACCCGACCTGTTTACCCGAATTAACAACTATACTTTTTATCTAATGTTTATCAGGACTATTTGTATCCTTTTGCCAAAGGTTGTATGCTCTCTTATCTTTCGTCCATTCCCCAAGTTAATACGAAGCCAACAATGGTATTTTTGGGTATCTCCTACAACATGTTTGAAGGCAAATAGTTGGAATTTAAATTAAAACCGGTTATTTATTGTAAGGAAGTTGTACTATACTTTAATTTGTAATGTTTATACCATGGGAGCTAGTAAGGCTCCTTTGAGTAGTTCACCGATCTAACTTCCATAATTTATAATTTTATTTTCGTCTACTAAGCACATGTAAAAATAAAACATTTTACATCATTTGACTTAGGTTGTAACATACATATATATCGAAAAAGTAAATCCTAATCATAAGTTCGTATTTCGTTTGTCTAAAATTTGAATTTTGAATCTACCGATCGTTTGTCTTAAATTTGAATCTACCTCTTTTGACCAATTAATTACAAAGATTGAAATCTCATGTTATCCTAATTTTGAGTTATGATGAGCTATATAAGTATATACAAAACCGGTCCATATACAGATAAATGTAGACATTAGTTTCAACATTTTAAAATAATAAAATAATACTTATTATTCAAGAATGATATCACGTTTAAAATAATACGCAATTCATACTTTAAATAATTTATTTTGTCTCATAATATATATTACCACTGTAAAAGTTAATTGAATGGAAAAAAGAAAATAAACGAGGCATTTATTTTTAATTTGGATTAAGTTAAAAATTAAAATATATTTGAATGGGAGTAATAATTATGAGATTGATGATATGAGAATGCACAAGTTTGGTAATGCTTTTAAAAATTTCAAGTAAATAAAGTCTCAGTATTACTTTGATCTTCACATAATTTCACTCATGACATGCCCTAACCACCTCCGTTATAGAGCACTACTTAGTAGAATCTTACTTCTGCTTTGCTAGGATAAGTGTGCTACGAAGATGCATGGCTAAGGGAGAGAGTAAGTAGGTAAATAAGAGTTTTTTTTTTTTTCTTCAAAAACAACACTTCAATTGATTTGAACGAGAGTATAAGTTGTTCCTATTTATAAACCTCCTTTCCCTTAAGTCTAGAATGTTCCTAATTTTAGATAATTTTAACCTCCTCTTAAGGAGAGTTCTACATTAGATCTCTAGAATGTTTCCGCCACTAAAGGTACTTACACCAAAGAGTTTTCCATCCATTTTCTAACAAATATGTACAACATAGTTTGCTTACCAACTTTCTGTACAAAAACACATAAGTGCCTATAATCCGGTTTCTAGTGACTCTCATGGGGAAGATGTTGATTTGCTCCTTCGCCAGCTTGACATCCCTTGTCTACTGGTCGAGGATCGGAGTTTGCTTGACAGGGATTTATCGGATATTAAAATAAAAAAAGGCCATGTTTGATTTACCATGCTCTAAGTCCCCAGGTCCGGATGGTTTTACGGTGGACTTCTTTAAAGCCTACTGGAAGGAGGTTGGGCAGCTTGTGATCGAGAGCGTGAGGCAATTCCTAAGAACAGGGAACTTGCTTAAGGAGTGGAACCAATCACTACTAGTGCTGATTCCAAAAGTGAAGGACCCGGAGCTTGCTAGTCACTTTAGACCTATAAGCTTGTGCAATACAGTTTATAAGTGTATTTCTAAGTGCTTGGTCAACAGGCTGAAGATTGTCTTCCCAAAACTCATCTCGGAAAACCAACATGCATTCATTCCAAGGAGGTATATGGAGGACAATATTATTCTGAGTCATGAACTTATGCA